CAGCTTGCGGAGGATAGGTGTAACGTGGGTGTACCTTGGTGCACCCACAATCGCTCGCGCGGCTGCATTCTGGACTAATGGTTGTGATATGAAATGCAGTAGCAAGAACAATTCTAGCTAGAAAATTCAAAGTTGTGAAAATACATGGGCCTCTTAAAACCTAAAAAATATAGGACAACATCTATAAAGTACTTTTGAGTTGCAGTTCTATATCCATTATCTTTGAGACAATAGGGATTGGTTAGCAGTAGACTTGTACAGATTTGCTGTCTACCTGACTCTGAAAGAAGACAAGAGGAACAAAAGGGAAAATAGAGTGTGTGTGTGTGTGTGTGTGTGCATGTGTGTTTGATGCAATTCTACTTCCATTGAATTAAACATAAATTATTTTTGAAATAATAACATTCTTTTTAGAAACACGTAAGTCAGCCAGTTAACTGCATCAAAATTAAAACAAAGAAAAATATGTTTTGTCAGTACATTTTTTTAGTGTATCAAAAGAAAAGGGAGATTACTTTGGAATACTATCCAACAAATTGATCTGTCTATAAACAAAGCAGGTGTCATTTGGAGAGAAGCGGAGAGGAGAGGAAAGGGAAAGAGGAAGGGGGAGGAGAAAGGGGAAAGGAGGTTCATATTGGTCAGAGATGCGGTTCCAGGCAGCATATGGATGCTGGAAAATTTGTTTCTACCATCTTGTACTGATGGTAAAGACTGGAACAGAAGTATTATTTGGACTGTGCACTTCCCCAAACAGACAAAAAAAGTGAACAAACATAAATACTTAAAGCAAGGAAGGTCATCTGTTATTTCATGGTGACTGTATTTATTAGGGAACCCATGGGACACTGGTAGACATTGTAATAAAAACTTAGGAAAGTCTTTGTTTTTTTTAAACTGCTGGAGGTTAAAGGGATATCGTAAGTACCTTAAACTTTAAGACATCTATTTAGCAATTTGATTTTCCCAAATCACAAACATTTCTCTGAGTTTACCTCAAATGGACAACTTGGATTTTAGAAATTGGAAAATATGGTTCTATAACAAATATACTACACTGATTTGACAAGAAATGCTTATGTATTGTATTTATATTGTGCTTTTCTTTGCTGAAACAATCTAAAAGTGAGTGATTATACTGTTCCAGGTATAACATGACATTGGAGAGTGAAATTATACATGAATTAAATGTGTTTTTGCTTTTAGTGGAAGGGGTATATTAGTTAACAGTAAATCATATATTTAGAAATAACAAAATAACACAGTAGGAAGGGACCTTGGAGGTTTTCTAGTTTAACTCCCTGCTCAAGCAGGAGACCCTATACCCATGACGGTGAACCTATGGCATGTGTGTCACAGGTAGCATGCGGAGCCATTTCTGAGGGCATACAAGGCGTTTCCCTGTCAGCTCCAGTGCGCTGGCCAGCTGATTTTCAGCCTTGATTTTCGGCCAATTTTCACCCTCTGGAGGCTTTCCTGAAGCCTCCAGAGGGTGAAAAACCACCCAACGGGCAATCCGGAAGTCAATTCCCAAACTTCTGGTTTACCTGTTGGGCCATTTTTCACCCTCTCCAGGTTCCTAGAAAGCTACTGGTGGGACCTAACAGGCCGTAAAAGTCAGAAAACAGGCCATTTCTGCCTCCAGAGGCTCCTCCGGGGCAGCGGGGTGGTGATCATGTGTGCATGTGCAAGGGACATGGCATGGGGGGGGACATTAAATTATGTGGGTGGGCATGCAAGCGCAAGCAATAGCGCAAACATGCATACTTTTGGCACCCGAGGCAAAAAAGTTTCGCCATCACTGCCCTATACAATTTCAGACAAATGTCTGTCCAATCTTTTCTTAAAAAGAAGGCACTCTTCTCTTAAGAAGGCAACTCTTTCCACTGATTAATTGTTTTCACTGTCAGGAAATTTCTCCTTCTTCTGCTGCCTGGAAGAAAATTCGGGAGCAATCCCATTGTTAGAGAGGTGGGGAGAATAGAATAGGCTTACCTGTGTTCTTTGTGCTTTTCTTGCAGTCCTGAACATGTTAAGCTTGTTTCTTTTTCTGGAAAATCCTCTTCACTCAGGTCACTATAACTGTCACTAAACAAAAAAGAATAAATGATTTAAGGATCCAATTTTCACATCTGTCTCTCACTGCAAAAGCAGTCACATTATGTTTTTTTTTTCAGTTTTGTTCATATTGATACAAGAATTAAATCAACTAACTCTCTCATTGAAATCAATGGTGCTTAAAAATACTTCGCTTCAGCTTGATTCAGTCCTTAGGGTAATTATACAGTACTTATTTCATCATCTGTCTTCCTTTGGAAGGATGTTAGTTACCCCAAGAGGAATAAGAACTTCATTCTGTAACTATGTGATAAACTAATCACATGAAATAATAGTTCATAAACAATGTGATTGGCTGAATCGACTCTATTTTCATCCAAAGAATTTGATATTAAGAAATTGCTTTAACATTTTGTATAGTAGGATAAATCTACAAATCCACTTTATGTTTTAAGAGCCATGGTTGCGCAGTTGTTAGAATACAGTATTGCAGGCTAACTCTGCTGACTGCCAGCAGTTCGATGAAAGGTTGACTCAGCCTTCCATCCTTCCCAAGTTGGGAAAATGAGGACCCAAATTGTTGGGGGCAATATGCTGACTCTGTAAACTGCTTACAGAGAGCTGCAAAGCACTGTGAAGCGGTATATAAGTCTAAACGCTATTGCTATTTAAAACAGTGTTTTCACACAAGTCCAAAAGCTCAGAAGACAAAACTTCTGGTCCTAGTGACCGATTCAGATTGGCTCCTGCAGTGTTTCTCAAACTTGGCAGCTTTAAGATGTGTAGATTTTGACTCCCAGAATTTCCAATCAGTTGCCAAATTTGAGAAACACTGCTTTAGAATGTAAAGGTTTTTTAAAAAAAAAATCCTGCTGGACCAGAGTTTTCCTGATTTACCCTTTCCTCCAAACTGTTCTTTCAACAATAAGCCAACAACTGAAGCAAATATAGATTAAATCTTATGGCTTCAAGATAGAAATCCTGTGCCACCTTACTTTATAATAAAAAAGGAATTTCAAACAAAATTAATCAGTTTGTTAATAAGTAATTAATTCTTAAGCACTTGTTGCATTATAGTCAAACTATATTTTAATTAGTATAACTAATATTGTACTTACTTCTTTCTGAATGTACCCAGGAAGCATGAAATAAAAATTAATGTTATGAAACATTTCTCCATATTGCATGAAAATTCAAAGCTACATAAAAATAATGTGACAATCTTCTTTAATTATTATTAGAATAAATTATAAAAGCCAAAAATGATTTAGAATTAGTTCCCATTGCTGAAAAATTCTCTTATAGATTCAGCTAAGATGAATGTGTAGCACAGTATCCTGGGGAAATGCTAATATGCTATAATATCTGCTATAAATATACAAAACACCCTGGAAATAAAAAGTAGGAATGAATTTGCAACTGCACATTCAATAATTTATCACTGCATTGTACTTTCTGTGTATGATAATGGCTTGGATTGATGTTCCTAGACTGAGTCTGTCTAGAACACTTCCCAAAATTCTTACATATTATGAAATTATGATTGTGTATTACAATATTGTACAATATCCAGAACTATTATTGCTGTCACAAAATGAAAAGTATCTTCTAAGAAACAAAATTCAATGGAATAATGGATTTCAGGAATCTTTCCTGGCTCATCACTTAAATGCATAATTAATTATATTCTGCCCCATTCAGATTACTTGTTCTTACTCAGTGGCAGGAAACCATCTGTAATTATAACTTTAGAAGAGGACTACCATATTTTTGGCGTATAAGACGCACTGCAGTATAAGACGCACCAAGGTTTTGAAGAGACAATTTTTTT